AAAGTTCGGACTAAAGAATTCCATGACAAGCACATTAATAGAAAATCTTTTGAACCCTACCAAAAAGTGTGGCTTTTAACTCAAAATTGAGACTCTTTCCGAGTAAGCTAAGATCTAGATGGGATGGACCCTTTGTGGTTGTTGAGGCATTTATTGATGGCGCCGTTGAGGTGCAAGATCCAAAGAATGGCCACACTTTCAAAGTGAATTGCCAAAGATTGAAACCATATATAGAGGGGATTGAGAATGGGGAAATGATTGAGTCCATTGCTTTGATGGACCCTTTTTACTATGATTGATAGATTGATTTCTTGTTTTCCTTTCTTTCCCTTCTATTCTATTCTATTTTTCTTTGTTCTTGTTGTGCTTTATTTGCGTCTAGGAGACTTTAAATCCTCTAAATGTGTAATTCCTTTGGTGTTAGCCGTGCCCGAACGGCATCTGATGGTCTGGTATAGCCACCTAACCGTGTTTGTAGTGAGTTCCTAGGAGACCAACTGAGACGGTGGAAACTAGAGTTCAAATGACAAAGCCTAGAACACAAAGGTTTGGAATTTCCGAGACTAGAGTTTGGTTTAAATACCCAGGGGTGTGGAGATTGCTTCAAAACTACCCCGGCTTGAACTCTGTATGGCAGCCCTATAGGTTGAGGTAGCTTTATGTACCTAAATTCTGAATACCGAATCAACCTAGTCTGTCACCCTGTTGGAGAATAGGGAAAGTTACAAACACAGTTAGGGAGAAAAATAGTACTTGTGTTTTTCGCGTGAAGATTATACCTTTGTTCGACATTCCAATATTTTCTTAAAGTGCTATATTTATTGCGGATGGCAAATGATGGTAGGAATGGCTTAGCATGATTTTGGTGGTGCTTGGTTTTAATTTATTTTCTTTACTCTTTTAAAAATATTTTATGGTGTAGATATATTTTTATACTAAAAATAAATAAAAGAAAAAATATATATAAATAAATTTAAAAAAAAATTGTACTTCTTTTTGGGGTTAATGTTCATAACTTTTAGATTGGCTAATGTTAGAAAAATTTGAAACCTCTATATCTATTAATATATTAATTATTATATCAATTAATGTATATAATATTATTATTCATATTTGATAAGTCATTATTCTTAAATGGACTACTTTTTGCAATAAATGAGGGAATAGTTTTGTCCAAATCCAAAATGAAATTGGTCCAATCAAAATGAGGAAATGATAATTTACGGGTACACACATGACATTAGTTGTATAAATTCATTGGAGATGAGGAAAAATATCATTTTATAATGTAAAACATCCCATAATAATTCAATTCAGTGGACATGCATATTATTATTATTTAAAAAAAAAAATTTTGCAGTTTGTTTATTTATTTATTTTTTTTATATTTCATTTAAAAAATTAAAAAAAATTCGTGTATATATTTATATTTATATATTTTTCTTTATTTTGTTCCCAAAAAAAATGCAGATTTATTTTAATTTTTATTATTTGTTTTATCTGATTTTATTTATTTTTTTTTTTTTCCTATTTCTTTTTCTTCTTCTTATACTAAAATAAATAAATAAATAAAGAAAAATTCTCTGCAGTTTTAAAAAAAATTAAATAAAAATAAAAATAAATTCGTGTATAAATATGTAAAAAAAAAAAAAAAAAAAAACCTTTGACCAAACCCTACCACCCAGATTAACTATCACTTTCCCAACTATCTCTCTCTCACTCTACCTCTCTTATCTTTTTCTTATTCTTTAACTTCGTATTCTCTCTCAAAACTCCACACATCCACAAACTCCATCAAACCCCACCATCACCGACCTTCACCTTCCTTCTTCCTCACCACCATCTCACCGCCGGCGCCCTATTTTCTCTCCATCCGGCGAATCTCCGGCGACCACCATTTTTTCCAGTGAATCATCTTTCTTTTCTTTCTTTCTCCACTTTTTCAAGGTAATTTTTTCTTCTTTGTGTAGATTTGTGGGTGTAGAAGTATATTTGTAGAGCCTTTATTTTTGGTTGCTGTTGTTCTTGTTTGTGATTGATCTGGTTCTTACTTCACTAAAAAAATAAAAAATAACAAACAAAATTTCAAAAGTGTGTTTGGGTGTCCTTGCCTCGCTGGATGTGCGCCCATGCTGTATGGTAAGATCCTCTCTCTCATTTTACTATCTAATGTCTACTTGCTTACATTGAGGATCTAATGTCTACTTGCTTACGTTGAGGACAATGTTATATTCCAGTTGAGGGGTGAGGGTATTTGAAATAAGTTTTCATGTTTATACTTGCTACACTTGATTGCACCATTTCACTTAATGTTTACTTTGTGCCAGTATGATAATGATATGAGCATATGTTAATTGGGGAACATAGTGGGCTTGTATCAAAAGAGTTTATTGGGTAAATATTCACATGTGATGTTTGCACTAGGATAGTTGTTTGTGTTTGTGGTATTAGTGCACTTGTCATGATTATGCCTTAATTCACATGAGCACACTATCATAGTAGTGACCTCTTTATTATAATCCCTAGTGTACATCATTGATAATGGTTGGGGTTACAGAAAAGAATAAATGAGTACCCAAGATTCTTGCTAAAAAAAAAAAAAAAAACTTGACTTGTTTAGGTTCATAGCCTCTTTAACTCGAGTTACAAAGCCCGTGGGAGTGTCTCTACACCTAGTATCCTAAAACCGTCTGGTTTAGGAGTCATTGGCCCAATACTTGCTACATGGGTTAATTAGAAAGCTTATGGGACCTAGACATTGCACAGTTAAGGTAAAATAAGAATAACTTGTTCGGATTCGTAGCCTTTTTAGCTTGAGTTATTAAGCCCGTGGGGGTGTTTCTACATCTAGTGCCCTAAAACCATCCGGTTTGAGAGTCACTGGCCTAATACTTGTTACAAGAGTTGACTAGAAAGCTTAATGGATCAGGACATTGCACAATCTTTCAAATAAATAAATAAATAAATAAATAAAATAAAATAAAATATTTGAGAATCTTAGTTGCAACAATTTAGTTTTTCTGTATATGTTGAGTGTTATTATGAGTTACATTGAGCTATTATAGTGAACAGTTAACTAATATGGAGATTGCACTTTACACCGAGGGTACTAATGATGTGTCTACTAGCATTCACAAGTACAAGGGACTTTACTTTTGTATAAACTGAAGTGTAGTTTTGGCTCAATAGATTCCTTCATACTTGTCTATTGTGTCTCCAATGACTCATCATTTCTTAATATCATATTGTAATGGCACATAAGTTGATTGTTATGTGGAGTAATGTGGTTCATTGTTGTTGAGCGGATATGAATATGTTGATATTTGTGGGTATCATATCTGAAAACCTTCACGAGACTATACTTGTCCACTTGGGGTAACCTTGTGGTTTCAAAACTTGTTGCATGTGCTAAATGCAATCGTGATCCCTACGAAAGTGGCTGAGAGTATTTTACTTTTCTTATTTCTTTTATTTTACTTGAGGACTAGCAAAATGTAAGTTAGGGGTGTGATGTAGGTCGAAAGATACCACATTGAAGCTACTTAAGTTACATTTTTAGTCTTTTAATTTTATTTATTTGGTGGAGATGATGTGTTTCGTGCATTTGTACATATTTAGCAGGAAATATGAAAATTCAATCAAAAAGCCGTGAAAGCAGATCCTCCGAGCGAAAAGTGAAGAATACGAGCCAGCCAGACCACCGCACGTGCGGCCCACATAGGTTCTCAAGCGGCCCATCTAGGGACACGTGCACAGAATTTTTGGTCTGTTTTGCTCCGAATAAAAGACAGAAAAATAACCAAAATGAGGGTTCGAAAATTAATTTAGAGGAAAAGGGAGGCTAGGGTTCCAAAGAGGGGATATTCTACCAAAGCTTGAAGGACACTTCCATGCGGGTTTCTTTCTCATCTTCTTTCTCTTCTCACTCCTCCATGAGTGGCTAGTCGTCTTTTTTAGGGTTTTGATGAAACCCTCGCCATGTAATAGGATTTCTCATTAACTTTAATTGTGAATTGGTTGAATGGAAGTATGGATGATTTAGAAGTTTTTAATATTCATTTTTTTCATCTCTTCAAGCATTTTTACTCTCTGTGATTGTCTAATACTTTCCATTCATTAGTTTTCTTTGTGTTTGTATTCAAAGTACGAGACGAGTCATGCTATGAGAAACGGGTTGTGTTGCTATCATAGTTTAGAGCAAACGACTCGTACTACTCGGGATGATTCGTGCCTGTACGTTGAATGCAACAACCCTCTTGATCAATATTTCAAACTTGTAGTTGTGAAATATTAGGTAGTTCAAACCGAATCGCAATTGGTGGCCAATGTTAAATCTCATTCATGTGGTTAGTGGTGAATTCTCTACCCTAGGATTTTTCTCGAAAATTAATATCTCAAACCCTAATTTTAGTTGTCAGTCTAATTCCTCAATTTCTTTTAATTGCTGTTTAGTTATAAAATCAATCTTATCTTTTTAATCAAAATTAATTTAGGAATTTTGCGATTGAATTAATCTAATTTCACATTTGTCCCTGCGGATCGATTCTTGGACTTGCCATTATTCTAACAGAATTTGGTATAGTTTAGTGATTTAATTTTGGTGTGTTCAACGACTCATCAGGGAGCTTTTAAGTTTTTATCAAATCTCACAAATGGCCATTAGTAGACGACCGAATGAATGACTGGGTGGACGACCGAATTAGAGAAAATTTGAAAAAAATTTACATTAAGCCAGACGACAGTGTGGATATCTTCTCAGTCATCCTCTCGATCAACCGGTTGTTTGATGAAAATTAAAAATTTAACGTTGAAATGTTTGGTATCAGACAAAACTTTTAATCCAAATCTTTATTTAAATTTAATAGGAAAAATAAAAAAATAAAAAAAAATAAAACAGTATATATATATATATATTTTTTTTTTTGATCAGCAAAGAAAAATTTCATTTAACAGCATGAAATTAAGAGTACAGGAAGATGACATGCATCGAGAGAGATTCGGAAAGTATGAAATACCCCTACATTATAAAGATGTTCTTACAAGAGAGACGATAAGCATGGCTCACTTCAACCAATCACCCCAAGAAATAAAATAGAACAAGTACATAAAGAAAAACGATTTTTAATTATGCCGATTAATCCACTTCTAAAACCGACCACGTATTGGTATCACGTCGGTTAGTATGTGTTGGGACACATAAACTAAACCAATGTAATACTAGATACAAGATGGATTAGGGCAGGATTAGTCGGTCTAAACAACAATTCTCAAAATAAAATAAAATAAGAAAGTAAAAGCTAGTCCATGAGATTCATGACTTTCTTCCAGGCAGGCCTGCTTGAAATATCCATCCACCAAGAATTCACATTCTTTCTGTTTCTAACCAAGTGTCCAAGCCCAGCTTCATTCAACAGATACCTAATAGCCGGAAGGTGGCTGAGGTCAGCGAGCGTGAACGAATCTCCAGCTAGATAGTTGCTCTTCGACAACCTCTGCTCATAGATGTCGAGCACTTTCTCAAGCTTGTCCTCACAGCTGTGGACCAATGCCAAGTCGCTTTGCTCCCCCATGCGTGGGAGGACCACCAGCTGAAGAACCATGTTGTACACCAAGTCGTTGAAGTTGTGTGCTTCGATCTCGAGCCACTGGTCAACCAGGGCTTTCTCTTCCAGAGTGGTTCCTAGTAGGTTGGGACCGTAGTCTGCATTCTTTGCTGCATAGTACTTTATGATTGCCCTTGACTCTGTAAAATGGGTGCCCAACATGGCCCAAAGAAAAACAAAGATGACCATTTGTTAGAATTTAGGCTTTTTTCCAAAGGGTCTTGTTAATGAAGATGCACGACCACAAATTATGATTTTAGAGACAAAAATTTAATGACTAAGGTCTCGTTTAGGAACAGGCTAATTTAGTAACTTTTTGACTATTTGGTTAAAAAGGTAGGTAAAAAAAACTTGTATGTTTGTGATGATTTTTTGACTAATTACGAAAAGATGTGCAAAAAGTAGAGAGAAAAGAAAATCTTTGACTTTTTAGTATGGGTTGTTGGCTTTTTGGCTAATTTAGTAACTTTTTGGCTAATTGGCTAAAATAGCCTCTTGCCAAATGAGGCCTAAATCATTTTTTTTATGGGCAAAATATTGTAATTATCAGAAGTGTTACTTTTTATTTTTAGTAATGAAATTAGATATTTAGTGATAAATTACTATATGTTTGGGATGAATTTTTTTGTTCCAACAAGTAAATCTTTTTTGGCACAAAATGTTGCCTTTAAAATGTATTTATTAGCAACATTTGTAAATTTTTATCACTAAAAATTATTTTTTAAATTTTTTTTAAAATAACCTTTTAGCGACGATCTTTACGACAGTAAGAATTGGTCCCTAACTGTTTTTGTAACAAAATTTTTAATGTTAGGAACAAAAAATATTAATCTCTAAAACTCTTATATGTTATTGAGATGTACAACCATTTTAAACATCCTAACAAATATCTTAAGGGTACATATTAACAAAATCTTTTACATTCACATACTCTACAAAATTTTTCTTTGTTTTGAATGAGAATTCAAATTTAACAAATATGACATTGAATTTGTTTTTAAATTATTTTTTTATTTTCAATTCATTTTTATTGTTTATTTTCAAAATTTATGTATCTCTTTTTATTATTATTATTTAATAAATCAACTATTGATCGTACATTAAGGCTCCAATTGTTTCAAAGTAAAATATTTTGTTTAGTTGATCAAAAAGCAAAAAAACATTTTTCAATTAAAATATTTTTGGTCATTGGACAAACAACGAATTATATTTCAAAAGTTCGTATCGTTTTTGCTTATCTCAGTCAGCGCTTCATCAAGTTCAATCCTTATATTATTTTAATTTTTTAATTTTTTAAAGTTTTATCTATAAATGATTCATCTAAATATTTTGTCAACAAAACACAGAAAAATTAAAAAGAAAATTGCCTAAAATAAAAAGATAGAAATTTAGAAGAAATAATTTTTGAATCAATACAATTTTCCTTTTTCTATCTGACAACATCTTAAAAGCAACCACATTTGTTTGCATTTTTTGTCTTTAGTAAAACTAGTTTAATTTGTGTCAGCAAATTTTATTTTCCAAGTTCGTCTATTATAAAAAAAAAAAAATTAATTCAAAAATTCAAAAAAATATTATATATCGATTATTTTTATTTTTTGTTTCTATGCAATTTCAATTATTTTTGTTTCTTTTACTTTTCAGAGGTGTTTAATCTAATAGATCCCCAAAGAAGGGAAAAAAAAAATTAAGAAATTTTTTATTAATTGCCTTTGGAAATATAAAATTTTAACTGAAAAATTAAAAAGACATTAAAAGGCTAAAAAAACTAAAAAGTTATATAAAAAATCAAAAATTCTTTTCATTCTCTTTACTTTTTGTATTTCTTTTTATAAGAAGTTCTATGCAATTTCAATTATTTTTGTTTCTTTTACTTTTCAGAGGTGTTTAATCTAATAGATCCCCAAAGAAGGAAAAAAAAAAAATTAAGAAAATTTTTATTAATTGCCTTTGGAAACATAAAATTTTAACTGAAAAATTAAAAAGACATTAAAAGGCTAAAAAAACTAAAAAGTTATATAAAAAATCAAAAATTCTTTTCATTCTCTTTACTTTTTGTATTTCTTTTTATAAGAAGTCAAAAAGTTATTTTTAAATATTTTTTATACTTTCAACCCATATTTTAATTAAAAAATTATTCAAAAAATTAGTTCCCAAACAAATAATACGACCAAAAATAACAACAAAAAAATTTGCTTAAAAAAGCAAGTCAAACCCAGCCAGTTGGTCGGCTAGGGATCGTATGCTTATTTAGAGGTAAACGTGTACAAACTCTGTACACAACTTGCTACCCTGTGTACGCTGTACTTTATAACACTTCCATGTTCTCCAAATCAACCCAAAATAGACCAATCCTTTTCTGGCAAGTTGGGATCTAACTGCATGCATTTTAGGTGTAATAAGAAAAAATTAAGGTATTGTTTGGTTTGTGTTTCTCAAGAAATTTTGAAAAAAATTCTGTACAAATAAGTTTTTAAAAGTAATCAAATTAAACAAATTTTTCCCAAAAAAATTTTCAAAACTTGTTTGGTTTACAAATTTTCTAAACAAATCTCTCTCTCATACACATCAAATCAATCACTTTTTCCAAAACTCTCTCTTAAAATAATTTTTCAAAACATCTTTTGAAAAAAAATCAAACCAAACAAATTTTCATACATTTTATCTCAAAACATGTTTCTCAAATACAAACCAAACAAGGCCTAAGAGTTTGAGTTTATGGAACAGCAACGATTCTTTTAAGTGGTATATTTTTGTACATTAATTTTATTAATAAACTAATCACTCTAACTTCTTAGAATGTTGACAAAAAAAATAAAAAACAAAAATCAATTCAAAATAAATTCTTATTTGATTTTACACTTTTACCCTTCCATTTTTTTAACAACAAACATAGCATAAAAGTGGTCACAACCAATACTTTTATCTCTCATTTTGTGACCTACTGTAAAATTCCTCAGTAATGTTAAAGATTCATAAAAATTATTTAGAAACATATCATATATAGATTCAACTCTTATCCAGGTATCAGATAGGTTTACTGTAATGCTTTGTGCACCTTTTGTTTTTTTTCCTTATGATGTATTAACATATGTGATGTATGAATTTTTTTTTTCATCAATAAAGTTATCTTTTTTGGCTAATAAAAAAAAAAAAAAATCTAGATTCAATTCTTATTAAAAGATCTCAACCGCAATTATTTTTTGAATAAATTTTCTAGATCTTAATATTGCTGAAAATTCATAACAAATTATGAAATGCACAGTTATCATTTTTGAATTAAATCTTTCCTGATCTTTCTGTAAAACGTTATTATTTGGAGGCACGTCGAACATATTCAATGCAAGGGAAGTGAAGTAAGATAAAAGTGTTGTTGAAAGTAAATTAAAAGTTGATGATCTTAAAATAAAAGATAAAAGTGAAAAGTATCTCTTATTCATCTTTTAAAATTAACTTTTTTTTTAATTTATTTAAATTATTTATGTCTAGTAAATTATAAATAGAAGTTGTACCAAACAACCTCAAACAATAATTTGAATATATATTTTTTTTATTGTCAAGGTTATACATGAATATATGGGTGAATTACACTGACCACCTTCACTTTTGGAGAAAACACAAGAAGTCTCATAATTTTGACATAATTACATTGAGTTCCCTTATGATTTTCATTTTCCATTTCTATCAATAATTTGTTAGTTATATGAACGAAAAATGATATTATCATCTCTTTAACATCAAAATATATAATTTACATTATTTATTTTTTGTGTTTTCACAACATCTGCATTAATTTCAATCAATTTAATCTTACAAAAAAGAAATTAGTATAATTATGTCAAAATTATGAGACTAAATGTATTTTTGTCAACTCTAAGGAGAGGTTAGTATAATTTTCCTATCATGACACAAAGGTGATGTTTCTCAAATACAAACCAAACAAGGCCTAAGAGTTTGAGTTTATGGAACAGTAACGATTCTTTTAAGTGGTATATTTTTGTACATTAATTTTATTAATAAACTAATCACTCTAACTTCTTAGAATGTTGACAGAAAAAATAAAAAACAAAAATCAATTCAAAATAAATTCTTATTTGATTTTACACTTTTACCCTTCCATTTTTTTAACAACAAACATAGCATAAAAGTGGTCACAACCAATATTTTTATCTCTCATTTTGTGACCTATTGTAAAATTCCTCAGTAATGTTAAAGACTCATAAAAATTATTTAGAAACATATCATATATAGATTCAACTCTTATCCAGGTATCAGATAGGTTTACTGTAATCCTTTGTGCACCTTTTGTTTTTTTTCCTTATGATGTATTAACATATGTGATGTATGATTTTTTTTTTCATCAATAAAGTTATCTTTTTTGGCTAATAAAAAAAAAAAATCTAGATTCAATTCTTATTAAAAGATCTCAACCGCAATTATTTTTTGAATAAATTTTCTAGATCTTAATATTGCTGAAAATTCATAACAAATTATGAAATGCACAGTTATCATTTTTGAATTAAATCTATCCTGATCTTTCTGTAAAATGTTATTATTTGGAGGCACGTCGAACATATTCAATGCAAGGAAGTGAAGTAAGATAAAAGTGTTGTTGAAAGTAAATTAAAAGTTGATGATCTTAAAATAAAAGATAAAAGTGAAAAGTATCTCTTATTCATCTTTTAAAAATTAACTTTTTTTTTAATTTATTTAAATTATTTATGTCTAGTAAATTATAAATAGAAGTTGTACCAAACAACCTCAAACAATAATTTGAATATATATTTTTTTTATTGTCAAGGTTATACATGAATATATGGGTGAATTACACTGACCACCTTCAGTTTTGGAGAAAATACAAGAAGTCTCATAATTTTGACATAATTACACTGAGCTCCCTTATGATTTTCATTTTCCATTTCTATCAATAATTTGTTAGTTATATGAACGAAAAATGATATTATCATCTCTTTAACATCAAAATATATAATTTACATTATTTATTTTTTGTGTTTTCACAACATCTGCATTAATTTCAATCAATTTAATCTTACAAAAAGGAAATTAGTATAATCATGTCAAAATTATGAGACTAAATGTATTTTTGTTAACTCTAAGGAGAGGTTAGTATAATTTTCCTATCATGACACAAAGGTGCGTAGGGTCCAATATCTTTGTAACCACGGGTAACAATATATTTTTTTTATAATTTTTTTCTTTTTAAATTTTTGGGTAAGGAGAAGTTTAGCTTAGCTCAATAAATATCATTTTCAAAGAATTGAAAGAAACTAATATATATAGGCTAATTTTTATGTATGAAACAATCTTTTATTTAGTAGTCAATTTATTGGATAAAATGAATTTAAAGAAGATCTAAGGCAAACTCTTTTTCTCACATCTTTTCTAATCATCAATTAATCATCTCTTTCACACATCACTATAGATCATAAAAATAGGTTTAAAAAATGGATTTCTATATGATTTTTTTTAAAAAATTAACTGAAAAAAATGTTGACTGATTAATTCCTGAGAAATTAAATACTTAGCTAATAGCTAGAATAAATTGAAAATGCTCTTACCAAAAAGCCTGAAGTCGCCATCCTCTATGACTGGAACTTGTCCAAAGGGCTGCAGAAGAAAAATAATATTCATATTAGTAAGTTAAATAAAAAGGAAGTCTTGGTATACACTCAGTGACTATATTTGATTAACACAAATTTATTAAGTATTTGATATGTTATTTATATGGCACTCATAATATTATCAAGCTGATATGAATCATTAAAATATATATATATATATATATATTGTTTAATTTTTTACATATGTGGTTTATTTTTATTTTTTTCAGTAGAATAATTACAAATATAAAATGTATTACATCAAACAAACCACTAGCCTAACAAGGCTAGAAGGCCAACAATCACTAAGCCCAACAACCAATCACCACTAACTATACAACCCCATACATGAGGAAAAATAAACACACAAAAGAAATATCAAATTTCTTTCCATAGGAATTAATCCGTAATCTCATATCACAAGAAAGAAAAAAGCAAAATAAAATAGAGAATGAAGGACATGAATTAAGGAGAATGAGGACATCATAGTATTAATGAGGTCTCTTTGTAATAAAACATGTAGAATAATGATGACTTGTAGTATTTTGTTTATTAAAATGGAGTAAAATAGAATGAGGATTCTATCAAAATGTTTATTCTTATATTCTATTGAACACAAAAATAGTAAAAAAATAAATAAAATGAAATTATCATTCAATATTATAAAAAAAAAAATGATCAATCCATAAAAGAGTTTGGGGAGTGACCTTCCATTCTATTCTATGTTATTCCAATAACTGAATAGAGCAACTTTCAACTTCACAAGGGAACAAAAGTTGGAGAAAGTACCAAAGGAAAACAAAAGCAAAGTAACGACAATTATGTGCAAGAAAGTAAGAAAATTGTTTAACAGCTCTAAATTAATGAGCTCTAATAGCTCTAAATACACTGTAGTTTCAATTGATTTGATGTTTTGCTCTTTGTTTTATTTTTTTTATTTCCTGCATTGCCAGCTCATTAGAGCTGGCTTAGTACTCTCTTTTTAGTGGTATGTATCACCACTCAGAAAACAATGACTTTGTTTGCGGCAACTTAAATTAATTAATTATAAATTTTTGTTAGTGTAATTTATGTTTATAATTTATTAAGCAATTTAAATAAGTTAAAAAATTAATTCTTCAAAAGTTGGAAAAAGATATTTTTGGGCATTGTATTTGGAGACCTCTTAGGCAACCATATTTGGAGTCCTCCAAGCACCAGTTCTTTTGCCAGCTACTTTCAACCGTTGATAAGTATATCTCTCACTGACAAAAACTTCCTTCGATCTACAATCATTTTCCGTCACCACTTTCCATTGATCATCACCTCTAATAATCAATTATTATTGTCGCTCACCTCCTATTAATAAATACCTCCAACCACCTCCCATCATTTGTTTTTAAAATAAACTTTCAAAATACATGTGTATATTAAACATATTTTTTTATTTTACCATAAACAAAACAAAACAAAAAAAATTAGATGATTGGTGTAACGACCTCTAACACTATATGTAACGAATTAAAGGACAAAGAGATTAATGTCACCGTTACACTCAATGTTTTCTTAAAAAATGATTCAAAGGACAAAGAGATTAATGTCACTGTTACACTCAATGTTTTCTTAAAAAATGATTCAAAGGACAAAGAGATTAATGTCACCATTACACTCAATCTTTTCTTAAAAAATGATTCAATAAATATATATAGTTTGAGACAAAGAACAAAAAGTTTGGAAGTAACGAATAGCATGTGGAATTCTTGAGCTACTCATCAATGATTAGATAACTAGGCTGCCAAGGTTAAGCTGCAAAGGAGGAGCATGGGATTTGTTTTTACTTACTTGGTTTTCACAGAAAACATTCGCTAGGTAAATAAAGAAAAAAAATAACTTTTACTTTTAATTTTCACCCTTGACCAGAAAATTCCTTTCTTGCAAAAGAAAAAAAAAAGAAGGTAAGTTCCATTTTTTGGGAATAAAAAAAGGCTAGAGGGGGCCAATAACACATAGTATGCTGAAGAATCAATCAAATGGTATTAGGCAAATCCAACACAGCTGTGTTAAAGGTATAGAAAGTTTGACACACATAATACACAGATTTGAGACAAAAAATATTCACATCTATAGTTATAAAGTGTTACATGTGCACTTTTTGTATTTGAAACCTTTTGCACACTTAAATATTTTCAATCCAATAACTTGATCCTATCTCACTGTGTGCATAATGAAAAATAATTACAAATAAGTGATAAATTTTATAGATATTAATAATTAAAATCAAATATATGATCAAATATTTTAATCAAATCACATATAATAACACGTATATTCAAATATATGAACTCAAGTGGTATTAAGACAAGACCAACGACACTAAATAACTTCTCATATTTACTGGCTTTTTTGCATTGGCCAGCAAGAAGTCTCACCTGCCGAAGTAAGAAATCGGGTTTTTTATGTTCTCCAGAGTCAAGATCAACATGAATAAGCTCAAATTCAACCCCCATCTCCACAAGGCAAGCCAGCACTCTCTGCGGGCAAGCAGCCCTAACTGGACCATACACTTTAACAACCATCTCTCTTCACAAACACTTAAAACCTAAAACACTTTTTTTTTGAGGGATTGTTATTATATATGTATACACACACACAAAAGGTTATGTATTTATATATTTATACTTGAGTTGAGGCTTGACAAGTCTAGGGAGATCTTTCCACTTAAATAGGAGATGATTTGAAGTGGGTCTCTGAACTCTGGGAGTTTGGACAATGTGGGGGTTACCATGTGAGAGTCTCCAGCATTGATTTTCTTGTTCCTTCTCTGCTTTTGCTTCTTTTTTCTTTGTTTGACATTTTTGTGCATGGTGGTTTTTGGGGGTTGTCACATGTTTTTCTTTGTTTGACATTTTTTTGCATGGTGGTTTTTGGGGGTTGTCACATGCTTAACGATAACTGGTGGGTGGTGGCTGAGAAGGAAAGTAAGAACTCCCTACCAAATCAGTCACTGGTTTTTGTTTTTTGTTTTTTGTTTTTTACTTTTTTTGGGTCTGTGAACGGCAGAGATTCTTTGTTCTGATTTCCCATGTTCCTATATCCTCTCCACCATGCTAATTATTTAGTAATTTTGAGATATAAATACATGATATTTCATAGTATCGTAATTGATGAAAAAGGTGAGTAGGTGAGATATTGTGTTAGTGATTGGAGAATATAAGAAGATATTTTAAGTGATGATTGGTTAAAGAATACATACAAGTAATATTCTAAAAATATTAAATAATTTTTCCTCCAACACAGGGTGATATAAGAAAAATAAAATAAATAACCATTGTATGATATTGTAAGGTAGTGACGTGGCTTGAGTTGGGACAAAAGGATAAAAGATAAGGAAACAACTGATCCGTCCTCTCTTTTGCTGGATTGAAATTAGGGAGAATTACTTATCAGTAGAATAGGGAAAAAAATTATAAAAATATATGAAGTGTAAGTAAATTTGTGATAAGGTGTAAATAAAAAATTGGGGTGCGGGTGCACTTCTCCATGTTTGTGTAATTTATATTTGTCTGCTCTATTACTAAGTAATTTCCCCTTAAGTTATAATGTTACATTTATCAAATTTTCTATTTTATTTTTAATTTATTATCTCATCTATCAGTATTGTATTGGAGATAAACATAAGTGGTCTACGCAGAGCTAACACTTGTGGATCACAACTCCATCAAAAAAAGTCACAAAAATAAATTTTTAGCGATAAAATTTTAAAAATATTGCTAATAATAAATGTTCCAAAAAAATTATTTTTTGAAACGAAAATTTTGATTCCAAAATTATGGTAATTTATTTATAAATATCCAATTTGTCTCTAAAAATATAACAATGACACATTTTGTAACTAAGATATTTTATTCTTAAAATATAATTTAGTAACTTTTCTAAAATCTTAATTTGTTCTAATAAGAATGATATGAATTAGTAGAGAATTAAGTGAAATTCCTTCCAAAATTGACTTTGAGGTTATCATTTTATAAATAAATAAGCTTTTTAATTATAAAATTTTAACTGTCACATTATTTTGATTAATTTTTATTTTATTTTTAAATTCTAGAAGAATATTATTTTAACCCAAATAGAATTGCTAGGTAAGATTTGTTAAGAAAGTGGAATATTTTGGTTCAGGGTACTAGAGGATTGAGCAAATCACGTGTAGCAGTAATGTGTGGCGTTTTCATTGCAGATTTTGTCATTGTATGAGATGGGGGAGTATGTAATGGGTGTGTTTTCTATGCCAGTCTAGGCATATTTGAATGGTGGTTCGGTTATAATTACAAAGAATTTGATGAACAACCTTATGGTCTGTTTGGCTTTATATCAAAACAAGAAAGTCAGTTTCGAGTGGTTAAAATCACTGATCTAAGCCTAACCAGGGGTAACCTCTAGAGTTAGATCCTAAAAGGCTGAAGCTCCAAAAGTTACCACTAGATAGTTGCTACACAATAAAGTCACTCAACCATGTAACGGTAAGTCACAAATCAAATTAAAGGCAAGAGTGGCTTTTCTTTTCTTCTTCATATCTGATTAACCCAAGGTTGTGACAACCTGATAGGATCAGGTCCACGTTTGACTTTCGCTTGGATTAATTATTTGGGCGACAGCGCATATATGATTGATAGGACGAACCTTTTAGATTTGGACAAATTTTATCGAGAAATGTGAGTTCAAATTTTTATCTGTGGGTAAGTCCGCGACTTACCGTTATATAGTTAAGTGACTCTACTGTGTAATACCACATAAGGGTGACCTCTGCAGTCTCAACTCCTTAGGGTCTAATCCTAAAGGTCACCCCTATGTGGTCAGACCTTTTTGTATCTCAGATTTTTCTCCTCTTTTTTTTTTTTGAGAGAGAGAGAGAGAGATAGAATAAGTAATTTGGGAATACATATTACTATTTTCCGGACAAATTGTGCTCATTCTCATTCTAAAGTTATAATGGAAGATTTTCATTGCATTATCAAAGAATTTATAATGATTCTTTTTAAATTTAAAATATTAATAAATTCTCATGATTATTTTACAACCCTCAATAATGTAATGGACATCCTCCTTACAATTATGGAATGCAAAGGATCTTAGTCCCTTTCATACTTCATTTTCAGGCATTCTCATGATTATTTCACAATCCTTAGATAATATAATGGACATCCTTTTTACGACTATAGAATGTAGAGGATCTTAGTCCCTTTCATAGTTCAGTTTGCAGGCATTACTTTAAGCTCGCAATAATAATTCAAATTGTTTTTCTTATACCTCTCACAACAAAGATTGTTTGTGCAAAAAATTAGTTTCATCAAATATCAATTAATAGATAAACAAATACATTTTTTTTTATAAAATCAATTATTTAAGTTTAAACTTGTAATCGCCATTTATTTTAAAAATAAAATATAATTTTTATCAAGCCTTGGTGACCTAGGGTTAACTTGGTTCGAAAAACTTCCAGAAGGCAGCATAGCCTCCTGGGAACAATTGGCGGAGGCGTTCGTCACAAGGTTCAGAGTGAACACCAAAACCCCGGTAGAGATTGACCAGTTACTCTCCATCGACATGGGCGAAAAGGAGACACTAAGATCCTACAACAGTCGCTACTGGGAGACATTCAACCAAATTGTGGACTGCCCCACCAATCTCGCCATTGCACAGTACAAAAGAGGCCTTCCATTCGGGAACAGACTAAGGGACTCAATCACCATGACACCACCCCTCACCATGGAGGCCTTGATGGAAAGAGTGCATCAGCACATCAGGATAGAAGAGGATGGCGCACGTGCAAAAGCAAAATCTAGTGCAACCGTAGTACCAGAAAAGAAGACCTCAGCAAAGGTCAATACAGTAGATCGGCAGAATAAAAACGGACGTGGCAGACGAGATAACGGAGAAGACCCAGACAAAAGATGGTTGAGAATCCGCACTGCCATAACAACGGTGTTCAAAAAACCAATATATCGGATTCTGAGCAAAAAAAAAGACGAGCCATTTGTGAAGTGGCCAGCCAAGCTAGGGGAAGCTCAGAAAAATTACGACGACAGATCACGGTGCACCTTCCACAAACAAAAGGGGCACCGAACTGAGAATTGCACACCGTTAAGAAAACACTTGGAAGAGTTGGTGGCAGCAGGCCACTTGGACAAATACATTGAAGGAGGAGCGCAACCGGCCCCCCAAGATCATAATCTTATTAGAAATCTATTTCCCATTAAAAGTCACCTGGATAAATACATTGAATGAGGGACGCAACCAGCCCCCTAGGACCACAATAACCCCAATGGAATGCCAATTGACGCCCCACCTCAAGGTGTGATCAATGTGATACATGGAGTATTCGAACCTGAGCGTGTATGCGAGCTCAGAGGATCGATCAAGAAGGCTGAGCACTTAAGAGAAGTACTAAGCGCTCAACCTACCACCAAAAAGGGGAGAACAGACCCTACGAACGTCATGTCTTTTACAGACAAGGACTTGGAAAGAATATATTGCCCTCACAACGATGCACTGGTCGTCACTTTCCGCGTCAAGGATTACGACGTCAAGTGAATTTTGATAGACCAAGGTAGCTTGTGTGAGATAATGTACTACAACACCTTCAAACAACTGAAATTGGAGGACAAAAACCTGGCACCGGCTGTATCCTCCCTGATCGGATTCAACTCAATGCCAAACTGGCCAGTCGGCAAAATTATCCTGCCAGTCAGGGTAGGAAGCGTGACAAAACGAGTGGAATTTTGGGTGTTAAAGGTCCCTTCCACTTACAACATAATCTTGGGAAGAACATGGCTCCATGCCATGAAATCAGTAGCGTCATCCTATCATCAAGTAATGTGGTTCCCCAATGGAGCCGGAGTAATTGAAGAGGTCTTTGGAGACCAGATTATGTCCAAGCAATGCTTTGTCACGGTTAATGGCAGCCGCGCTGCCAAGGGATATGTTCATTCTGTGGAAGAACCTGAGACCAATGAGCTATTCGCAGATGTTGGCAAAGCAGCTGACCAAAAAGCGGTGGAAGACTTGGTAAAGGTAGGAATAGATGATAAGAATTCGGATAAGTTCTTTTTGCTCGGATCGTCGTTGTCCGGCACTGAGAGATTAGAGGTCTTGGAATTCTTGACCTCTAACATCGAAGTGTTCGCCTGGACACCCTACGACATGCCAGGCATTGATCCAAACTTCATCTGTCACCAACTCAATGTCCACCCATCCGCCAGACCAATTATTCAGCGCACTCGCAGATCGGCACTCCACCACGTCGAGATAGTGGCAGAAGAAGTGGGAAATCTGCTAGAGGCAGGAGCTATCAGAGAGGTACACTACCCCAGATGGATTTCCAACACAGTCGTGGTGCCAAAAAAGAATGTCAAATGGCGTATCTGCGTCGACTATAAGACAGTCAACAAAGCATGCCCAAAGGATAGCTTCCCCCTACCACGGATAGATCAATTGGTAGACCTAACGGCGGGGCACAACCGACTTAGCTTTCTGGATGCATACAGAGGCTACCATCAGATTGCCATGTACGAACCAGACCAGGAGGTCACGTCTTTTACCACTCCAAGAGGACTGTATTGCTACAAGGTCATGCCCTTTGGCCTAAAGAATGCAGGGGCAACATTCCAACGGATGGTCACCAAGATGTTTGAACCATTGTTAGGCAAAACAATAGAAG